CAGAAAACCAAGCAAATATTAAAAAAAAAAAAAAAAGATAAAAGACAATGCCAACTTATGGAGAAGCCCGATTTCCTTTGTACATGTAAAGAGTAAAGACTGAAACAAGTGAAGTATAAGAAGAAGATACCATTAATAGGTAGGTGATATTAACACTAGAACAGGTAACTTTCACTTAAAAAGAAGTTTGGATTAACATAACCTATGATTAACAAGGGACCATTTGGTCCTTTCAAGCTGTCCTTGAGCACTCACCTTTAAGTAATGTACAAATTTATATCCATCTAAATTTTTCATCAAATATCAATTCCTCTCTTTAAACTCTTGTAAATGGCAACCTCATTCCACAAGCCAATCAGCATGTTAAAAATAAAAGTTTTTAATATAATTTAATCTGTATTTTCCAAATCTTAAAACTGTGTCCCCTCATCCTATTGTTTTCAGAACATAGCAGAAAATAACTGGAGTCCTTTATCCTACTATGATTAAAGTTCATCTACAATATATTCATCTAAGTTACCAATTCATTCCAAGTAATTCTGTAATACTTCTGCATCCTCAATACAGCAAGGAAAACCCAATAGTTTTAATGTCATAGGTAAACTTTATTTACTAATTATGTCCCTGTCAATATCATTAATATAAATAAGAAAAATAAAAAGTTTAAGCACTGACTCTGAGACACTCCATTAATGACAAGTATCCAGTATAACTGGAATCCATTAATAACTTGCTTTTTCTCATCTAACCACCCTACAATCCTATTAACTTTAACTAGTATCTCCCCAACCCCTACCAATGTAATTTATTTACATAATCTTCTGTAATGCACCTCATTAAAAGCTTTTTCAAAATCTATGTACACTAAGTCCATACACTTTCCTACATCCAGTTAACATGTAACATTCTCAAGAAAAGATAAAAGGCTGGTAAGGCAAGATTTCTCTTTAGAAAACCCATGCTGGCTTTCTTCTCTAATATCACATTTCACTAAATTAATTTAAAAAGCTTCTGTAAGATTTTATCAATACAGAAGTACAACTAACTGACTTATAATGTTCAGAGTATACTAGCAACTATTCAATCCCAGGCAGTAGTCAAAGTGCAGACAACCCCTTGTGCAGCTATGCACTAAGAAAAACCATCACTCTTCAGGTATCTACCCCTTATCTACTGACTTAACAAAAATAAAAAATAGAGGATTGTTTATCTCATCCTTGACATCTTTTTACAGCCCTGAGGAAAACAATATCTAGCTCTCATGCTTTATCTATTTTTAGTCTCTCATCTCTCTTCTTATCACCTTGGGATTAATATCTACATGATTATCAGGGTAAGAAATATTTCTAATATGTTCTCTTGTGAAAACAGAGAGGAACATTTAAAGGCCCAGCCATTTCATAACCTTCAACAAAAGCCTTGGTAACAGTATCCAATCCCCATTTTAACATTTTTTCTTTAACATACTTAAAATCCTGCTGTTAATTCTAACATTATCAGCCAGCTATTTCTCATAATGCCTTTTTAGTGTGTTATGTTCAGGCATGCAATTAGCTCTGAAAAATTAAAAATAAATTTTGTTTATCTGTCCTTTTTTAGTTTTTACCATATTAAATTTTGTTGTGTGGTTTTTGTTTCTCATGACTAGAGTAAGAAAGTTTTAAACTTTTTTTTGTTTTAAATATATATATTCTTAACAAAGTGATTCACACAAATTACATTACTTCTAATATATATAAGAAATCAGCTTTGATACAGAATGAAAGTTTGTGTCATATTTGGAAAAAAAAAAAGAGTTAATTAAAAATACTTTAAACACTACTTTACAGTTGGCAACTTCTTACATAAGCTGTTACAGAACTTGAAAAATAAATTTCAAAACAAAATATTACCAAACCAGCACGTTAGTTGTTAAACAAATTAAACAAGTCATAACAGTTGCAAAAAAAAAAATTGTTTGTTCAGTAATTATTTAAAATGTTACAGAATTTGTAAAATCAATTTTCTTATTGCTTGCAAATCCAAACAATAGAATCAATGACATGTAGCTTATCCATAAACATCATTCCTCACTATAACATGACTAGAAACTGCATCAAAATTGATACAAGATACAAAATTCATATTGTAAATATAACATCTGTACACATTTTTTTTCAACTTATATTTTCTTTTCTTTTTTTTGATACAGAAATCATCATGCAACCCTATGTTTTTTTCACATTTAACTTTATACACTGATTAATTGTTTAGAAACTGATCTGGAGTATGTATACGATTTTTGATAATTTTTTGGTTTAAAATTCTGAAAGAATAAATGGTTTTAATATACCAAAATATGATATTCATTTAAAATTCAATTTATGCCTAACTTTAGTCATTCCAAAAAAGCTAGGATGGTACAACTGGAGTTAAAGGTACTCTTACATATACTTACCATAAGCACTTTGATAGTTAGAAATTATTTGAATTATCGAATAAAATGTTTCAAGATATGGACCTAAATATCAGGGGTGACAAGTATAAATTTGAGAGCTAAGATATGGACTTGTACTTAGAAAAGAATACTTCTCACTTATGTGTCCAATTACAAACTTGTGGAATAATTTATTTGGAGCTTGGGTGTGTATGATTAGTTTGTATTCATTCACTTTTATTGGATATGGTTTAAACATGAAAGGTCACATCTAATTTTACTTGGTGATACTGCTTGTTCAAATCATAAATATTCACATCTTGGTGGGCTATATGTTCTTCAATAATAACCACATTGTTCTTATAATCTTTATTATAAAATACAAATTATTTCAAAACTTAGGAAATACACTGAAAATAAAAACATTGTTCAGTTTTGTAGCATCTAATCAGTATTATTTTACAAGGCTTAATCGAGAACATAACAAAATTTTAGAAAACTATATTATGCCATTTCAAAATTCAATGCTGCTACTTCAACTCTAACATTTTTTCCCATATTTATTAATATATTGTATATTATTTAATCTATAGTTTTGTTCTACTAACTTCAAAATATCATTATACTACACAGCGATTATTCCTTCGGACTCAACCACGAATAACATCACTACATTAGTATTAATAACTACCATTACTTATTAGTTAAAGTTATTAATATTAGTAATACTAACAACATTTCATTTTCACCAAGACTGAGTAAGATAAAACTAACAATGAAAGTGACAGTGAAGCACCCTCCTTCTGTCTAAAATTTAATATAAAGGAGTCAAATTAGCTTAACTTTAAAGTTAATGACGAATTTTCGGTAGTAACCAATGCCTATGAGTATGACTCGCATGGGCTGTACTACAGTACAGGTTGTAGTCAGTGTCAAACTAAGATAGATAAATTAACTCGCAAATATGAGGTTTTTTAAACAAAAAAGGAGAAAACAATCTACATACGCAACCATTCCGTATGCTCCTTCTCCGATGTATACTAATTCTGTATAACGCGGACCAACTTCAAAAATTTGACCTTTAATTGTTTCACTCATCGCCTGTACATTCGTTTCGGTCGCCATTTTAAATGGCGCAAAGCTGACTTTTTGAGTCAATAGATAACGTTTTCCGGAACCTGGCCTTCTGTTTAAAAAAATAAATAAATAAATAAAGAAACCAGAAAGAGATCGACTATAACTTACAAAGAAAACGTTCAGCTTCACTTATTTATGATATACTGGAATTGTATGATACTTCTATTATCTATTATTTATAATTAGTGGTGCAACTAATCTTAATTAGGGGCCATTGGAACAAACCTACATGAGATCTTTAAACCATTTCTGTTAATTATTGTGGCAGCCTCCAAGAGACTGGGTAGGTGTGATCCAACCATCAAGATGGGTGGTTGCACCCGTGTTCATGATAATAATAAAAAAATGTTTTTGTTTGTTTGTTTGTTTATAATTAAGCACAAAGCTATACAATGGGCTATGTGTGCTCTGCCCACCAAGGGTATCAAAACCCGGTTTCTAGCGTTGTAAGACCGCAGACATACCGCTGTGCCACTGTGGGGCAAAAAAGTTAGTAGATCACATTAAAAACATATAAAACACTAGTGCTCTTTCACAATAAGTCTTTGTCATTAAATATTTTTCTTTGTATGTGTTTAAACGAAAGATACACAACTGGGCTATCTAAACTGTGTCTACTATGGTCATCGAGCATCGATTTTTTGTATTACACTTTACAGGCTTTCAAGCATACCGAAAGCCATTCCAGGGACTACTCCTCAAGAACACAGATACAACTGTCGAAAACCTTAAGGTTTTATCGTTTGTTTCTTTTATTATAACGTCTGTTGTTTATTGATATATTATACAACACCTTTCTGGTGATTAAAAAAAAAACAGTCTTTGATTATGCTTCTCAACTGGGTGAATGGTTCACTTGGAGGTTAATGACATCAGTTTGGTTTGGTTTGTTTTGCATTTCGCGCAAAGCCACACGAGGGCTATCTGCGCTAGTCGTCCATAATTTAGTAGTGAAAGACTAGAGCATCACCACCCACCAACAACTCTTGGGTTACTCTTTTACCAACGAATAGTGGGATTGACCGTCACATAATAACGCCCCGACAGCTGAAAGGGCAAGCATGTTTGGTGGGACGGAGATTGGAACCCGCGACCCTCAGATTGCGAGTCAAGCGCCCTAACCACCTGGCCATGCCGAGCCATTGAGATCAGAATCAGGGTGAATGAGAATGATGGGGTAAATATGGCAGGGTGAATGAGAATGATGGGGTAAATATGGCAGGGCGAATGAGAATGATGGGGTAAATATGGCAGGGTGAATGAGAATGATGGGGTAAATATGGCAGGGCGAATGAGAATGATGGGGTGAATATGGCAGGGTGAATGAGTCTTATCAATTATCCAACATATGCAAGAGCAAAAAGAAGTTATTATTTATTATTATATATTCTAGTTGTAGTTTGCTAAGTACATTTATTTTTTGTTTAAATAAATATAAAAGAAAAAAGAAAAGCCAGAGAGAGATCGACTACAACTTACAAAGAAAACATTCAACTTCACAAAATATTTCAAGAATCAGAAATAGTGATGAGCTTTCAGTTCTCTTTATTATTTATGATATACTGGAGTTGTATAATATATGGGATCTTTTTCGAACTGGGGTGAGTGAGCTGTTGTGAAAAACTTATAGGGGTGAATGATATTGGAAAAGGTTGAGAAACACTGCTTTAAAGAATCGAAGAATAATAATATGAAACCTTTTTTTTCAAATTTATCGCGATAATAAACTTTGCGGGACTTTGGTAGGAACATTTATTATGAAATATATATAAGCTGTCAAGATGCTCAATATAATAGGTTCCAAAAAATCACAAAAAAACATAGTTTATATTTAAAACAGAAACCGCGTAGAATTTATGGTGAAAAAATTAATGCTCATCAACATGACCTTCAATAATAATAATAATACACTAATTATAGAGAGTTAATCGTACTTTATGATCGATGTATATGTGCTATTTTCAGGAGAGATGATCTCCGCACAAGTTTTCTGGACCGCGTGTTTATGCAAAAACTGCATAGAAAGTATCTAAACGATAGATTTTGAATATTTTTATATTATTAAAAACAGATAGAAAAGCATATGATATGCTTTTATATCACACTTTTCCCTTCGTCTACTCCAGGCTTGTCCTCAAGCTGACAATTAAAATTAAACTTAAAACCAATAAACTAAATTTATGCCATTGCCAAGGAGCGAGTTATTTTGGGGTTATGGCTGGAAATATGAAATATTGATAAAAGTGAGGGTAACTAAATGATGAAACATAAGAAAAGTGTACTTAGTCACCTCTACTGACTGCCAGGTTGATTTTTAATTTCGCTCTAAGTACATAGCTTGTTCTGATCGGAAGTCAATACAAATTTCCTTTGTTCCGAAGAACATGTATAAGCCATATGAATAACACGATCTTAAGAATCATACTTAATCATAATAATACAAAATCAAGCCCTTTAATGATGATTTACAGTCATATGACATAAAAACAATAATAGTAATGTTGCGTCAGCGAAGTCACATGACTAGTGTCACGCCACGTTTCTAGAACTATCCTGTACCTTGGCGAATGCTCTAGCATTTACTAGATATAGGGTAGTCTGGTATATAAAAGAGGGTGACAACGTGACGGGACAATAATGTGTGTGTAGATAGTGAATAATTGAACTGCAGTCAGAAGTATTGTTGACGTTCGTTGATATAGAGTTTGTTTTAGCGCGATTGTTGAAAATAAGTGTATCGTAAAGTTATATTCGGAAAGAATAAACCAGTTTTATTAAGTAAGGACTTGTGTCGCTAGTTTCATCGGAACGAAGTTACGGGAAAGTTAATTAACAAACGGAGACCTAAAAAATTGGTGTCAGAGAGTGGGACAAAAAAAATGGAAACGAGAAGCTGCAAATCAAACTTCAGCATAGCAGACTTGATGGCAGCAATTCAAGAACAGAAAAAGAAACAAGAAGAACGAGAAGAGAAACAAGAAAAAAACAAGAAGAGAGACAACAGCAGCTGCAAGAAAACCTGCAACAGTGGCAGCTCGAATAACAAAATAAACAAGAAGAACGAGAAGAGAAATTACAACAGTTGTTAGAGGAAAAAGAAAAGAAACAAGAAGAGAGACAACAGCAGTTGCAAGAAAACCTGCAACAGTGGCAGCTCGAACAACAAAATAAACAAGAAAAGAGATTACAGCAGCTGTTTGAGAAAAAAAGAAAAGAAACAAGAAGAACGAGAAGAGAAATTACAACAGTTGTTAGAGGAAAAAGAAAAGAAACAAGAAGAGAGACAACAGCAGTTGCAAGAAAACCTGCAACAGTGGC